AATGAATCAGTAATTGTCCTCGTCCACAGGCTGATGAGGAAAAGTTCAAGGTTATCTCTCCCCTGCCTAAAGAATGTATACGTTGACTGAATACAAAATTGTCGTGACTAGCAGAATTTTGCTGCTTGCCAGCTACTGAAGATAGCAGTTTTCCATTATAGAGTGTGTTCTCTGGCCAAACAATTGAAAATAACGAATATGGTGAAAATACTGATCTTACCTTTGTGATGAGCTTTTAAAACTTTTAAAAATCAGTTTTGCGTCAGGCCACTCCCATGTGTTTAGAACAAGAAACAGCGAGAAATCTTTCAGTCTTTTCTCATAACTTGAGATCCTGACGCTCTAGTAAGAAACCAGATTCTAGTCTAATCTTAATAATCAGCCATGCAAGGAGGAATAGTAGCAATGTATTGTACAGCAACATGCTGAACCACAGCTCCATCTTGCAGCGCGTGTGCAGTCTGACAGCATTATTTTTGACCTTGCCATCACGTGTGAGAGGATGTGGGTCTCCGGTCCTTGGGTACCCGTATGTGAGGTTGGGATTACTACTGCATGTGCCTGGTTTCCGGTTAAACTGCTTTTACTTTGGTGCGCAGAGATGTGCAGCTACAGTCCTGAGCAAACAGTTCAGCTGGGATGTGAGCAGCCATGGGCTGGCAGGTGGCAGAGCGAGGTAGGCAGGGATTTCTGTCAGCCAGTAGTCGGAGTTGTCTTTTGTTCTGCATCACTGACTTTCTGTGATTTTTCTTTTCTTTTTTTTTTTTTTTCTTGCCTCTTTCCTTTTTTCTTTCACTATCAGGAAAGCTGGAGATGTAGGGTGCAGATGGGAGACCTCTGGCATCTTCCAAATCTGCGGCACACTCCCAAAATAGTAACAGCTAGCAGCAGAAATGCCGGGACAGGGAATGTTTGTAGAAATGACTGGCTCTGTTTGAGGTTTTGATTGTGTCAGTTGCTGCTTGTGGCTTTTGAAAATGGCGGGTTTGCCTTGAAGATGTTTTTCTTTCCTGCTAATTGCAGGTTTTGAGGTTTTTTTTGCATTTGATGGGGTCATTTTACTTCTGAAGACCTGATTCCCCCCGCCCCGATATGTAACACTGGCTTTTTGCTGCAGCTCTGTAGCTGTTTGGACAGCTTCTGAAGAAATTTGATGTGTGAAAAATAATGAAAAGCTTCTAGAGAATGCATAGATATTGATAGCAAAATGACAGGTTTTATTTGTTTTAAGCTTTGTGTAGGTTGTGAATAAGAAGAGTCATAGGGTTTTTTGGTTTTTATAGTTTGGTTTTTTTTTGACATGCCTAATGCAAGTTAAACAACTTACTGGCATTTTCGGTTCAAATTAGTACTATTTTTGTTGGAAGAGGAGACTATCTAGGACTACCAAAGTCTGCTTCCAAATTCTGGGGTAGGTGCAGTTTGTGCAGGATAAGGCCATATGAATTTGTGTGCTTAGTTAAGAATTTACCTGTCTTTTGTCTTTGTTGCTGTATCTGTTGAACAGACATTTCTGCTTTAATCTTGCCGTGTTGTTAGATGTACAAGCAAAGTCTCATTGATTTTTATTGCTAGTTAAAGTGCAGATGAGATTAATATTAAACAAGTTAATCAGCCTTTATGTGTAGTTCCTCTGTTTTGTGAAATTGTGACGTCTGGCCGGTGGCTTTCTCCTGCTAAACTAAGTTTAGTTAGAACTGAATTGCATGCAGTTAGGTATTAGTCATGCTAACGTTAAATAATGCATATTAGAAATGATACATGATGCAGACTAATAGTTCTTTGTCTTGAATAAGTACTTTGTAGTGGTGATATGGGAAGCTCGTGTTTGAAAATAAGTGGCTATTATCAAATAGAGGTTTTGGTTGGAAAGATAAGATAATAGTCACATGTCAGTTTTCGATTTCCATGAGACATCAATCAAATGGGCTAAGGCATAGGGCAGTAAAGCAATTTAAGTTTTGTTTTGTGTTCTGCATGTAACTGAGACCAGGATTTTCGAAAAGATCCACTAATTTTGTGTGATTCTGTAATTTTGTCCTAGTGTTCCTAATATTTAGGGTCTAAATATTCAAAGGTACCGAGTATTCACAGTTCTAATCAGATGTGGTCAATTCAGATGAACATTGGCTGCTAATCACTGTCTGAGTACTGTGTTCAGTAATTGCTAACATCCTGGATGTTAGTCCTATGTTGGAATTTTTCTGTTGTAGAAAGCAAAATTGCAGTCCCATTCTTGGGCAGGGAGAAGACTTTTCTTTGTGGATTTCTCTAGAAGTTTGTTCAAGAGCATGTGAAGTAACGTTTTTATAGCTCTCCTGGAGTCCCTTTTACTGTGACCATGCTACACTGTTTACCTTTAAAAAGTGGGTCTTTCAGACATGCAGTACTCTTCAGACTGAAACCCTGAGAGGTTGCGCGTGAAACCCGAGTGCTTTTACTTGAAAGTAGGGCTAGTATCCCTGTCCTCTCAGGTGGGATACTTGTGTCTTATGGGCACTTACACTGGAAAAGTGTTTCTGCCAAGGACTGTAGAAGAAACAGAACTGTGAAAGTGTGGGTATTTCCTTCTTACACCAGAAATAATGAATTTCTGTTAAATGCCTGTAAACAAGTGAAACAATCAATGAGCCCTGTTACAATTGTGGCTTATTGGAGTGAAGACATTTGTTTTGTTTCTGCCTTTAAAATGGCAGAAACTAATATTGTAGTTTCAAAAGGGGTAGAGTTCCCTGTTTGGGTTACAAACTATCCAGGGTAGAAGAAATCAGTAAATACAGTAAGCTTACCAACTTAGGCTCATTTTTCCACATTTCTCTTCAGCTGTAGCACAGTTTCTGTTTCCGAGGCTTAAATGTTTCTTCTTGTCCCCTTGTTAGAAATGAAGCAGCAGTAGTTAACTAGTCATGTATCTGTATTCCTGGAAAGCTCTGGTAAACTTGTTCTGGGATAGTAAATTGCTTTTTGTTCTTGGAGATTATTACAATGAGCCGTATTAAAGGTGGTAATTGCATTGATTTGGCATAGTCATGTTATGTGAGTTGTGCCAGAAAGTGATTGCACGTGGCATTGCGGTGGCCAGGATGATATGGATCCTAGTGGATTTTTTTTTTTTGCTGTTCAAGCTAAGCTCTGTCTTTACCTACCTTTGACCCCTACTCACGGTGTTTTCACTATATAGTTTTAAAACACACATCATGCACCAAGATCCTGGCTGGCTTTAAACTGGTTGCCTTGGGCCTGGTAGGAGAGAGTACAGTTCTATGCTCAGCGCCATAGCCGTCTGTGTACCTGAAGGAGAAGACCAACTTTGCTTTTTAGGTCAATTACACGGTTCCAAATCTTTCAGGGTGACGAGAAGCTAACACTGTAGGCCTTACAGGGAATGCTGGCTTAATGAATATTTTATTTTGTATTTTCTCCACAGGGATTTTGTACTGAGACAAAGCCCAACGTGATCCTTTAACTAGCCCCTACCGTTTTCACCTGAGAGAGGAGAACTGAGCCATTGTGAAAGAGTCTTATGCTGGTACTGCAATGCTGAGTTCTAGCTCGACCACTGTGAAGAGTCTTCCTTTGAAGAAGAGGCTTTGTTTCCTGCTGAAACTTGTGTGCTTTGTCAGCTCAGTGTTAATATTTTGTGAATTTTTAATTTATTATGTGGTAATTTTTCAATGTCGATGGCCAGAAGTGAAAGGTGGAGCTCACATGGATAAAAAAGAGACTTCAACTTCAGTCCTAAAGGCCGTAATTTTAGCTGATACTCACCTACTTGGTGAAATCAAAGGACATTGGCTGGATAAGCTGAGAAGGTATTAATTAATTTTTTTGAATAATCTCTATCCTGGTTTTAGAGTTTTTAATAGTAGCTAATGGGACAGATGTTTAAAACCAATGTTGTGGTACTCGTAAGAAGCGTGCATGCTGCCTTTGACTTGCCAATCTGGATCTGCGCTGGGTAGTAAACCAGCGTTGAAAGGTTAATGAATGGGACTTACTGAGGCAGTGCAGTCTTGAATGTTCGGGTGGTATGTGGGTGTAGATGCCTGAGCATTTTCGATGGGTCCGATAGTCTTTTCCAGTATGTAACTATTTTATAGAATGCCTTAAAAATGAGCCAGATAACGTGGATGTCCCAATAGTCGATACCTTTAATTGCAGAGATAAGGAAGCTGGTAGAAGTTTGTCTCTCTAGTAGAAGAATCGGAGGCAAAATCACATTTAAAAACAAAGATAATCCAATCCTATGCCTACAAAGCCATGGCTGTTAGTCCAAAAGAAGAAAAAGCAGAATGCTGAAAGAAAGTACGAATTCTACCATGATATGAACATTATAAACTTTTGCTGCAGAAACAATAGCGTAGTAAAACATGTGCAATAATTCACTGTTCTGATTAATTGCTGTTTAATGGAATTATAATGAAAATTCAACAAGCTGGTATTAATTCTTGCATGAGTTGGTGCTGGTTGTATTGTAGTGGAATGACCCACCAGGTAAGACGCACCTATTGTACTTAAACCTGATTTCTAAGTATTTAATTTGAATTCCATATTAGTGCTTTCAGTGTGTAGGAGCCATCTTCCCGTTCCTGCCAGGCTGTGTTTGTGTATTCAGAGTTGAGGATCCAGGAGTTAGGCAGTGATGACTGGGTATGTGTTTTCCTTTCAGGGAATGGCAAATGGAGAGATCTTTCCAAACCGCCTTATGGTTACTGCAGCCAGATATTGTTTTTATTCTGGGAGATGTCTTTGATGAAGGAAAATGGAGCTCACCTCAGGTATGACATCAACAGCTCTCTTATTTCAAAAAACGAGGATTTCTTGAAGGAAATGGATGGCAGAAGAAAGCAGGCTAGGTATGCAAGGCTTTGTTTAATATTAATATAGTTGTCCTACTGGTAGAATTTCTAGTGTTTTAGATATGAGTTGAAATGTTGTGATTCTCCTTCATTTTTGGTAGTATCTTGGCACTTTTTCCCCTCATATAAAACTTATAAAATGTAAACGTCTCACTGAGTGTGCGCTTCTGTATTATATACTAGTGGTCACCTTCGATACTGTCGAACAGCGTTAATTTCTCCATTTATTTTTTTCATGCAGGCATGGGCAGATGATGTCAGGAGATTTCGGAAAATGTTTAAGTATCCAGTTTCTACTGAGCTAGTGGTTATCGTTGGGAATCATGACATTGGATTTCATTATGAGTAAGTCTTGCCAGCGAAAGGAATGCATACAGTAACTGGTTTTGTGTCTGCGTGACCTCTTGTGTGTTTATACAGAAAGTTTTTGATCATAACCAAATTAGAAGGGATTGTAATTTAGAGCGAGGTCTTACAAGGTATCCATCTGTGCACAATGCACCCTAAGAATACATTTTAGAACAGTTTTACTTTTGTGCTTCTCTGAGCATATGTAAAGTTGTCCAGAGCCGGTCTTTCTGCGTTGGCAGAGAAGTCTTGAAGCTGCTTTTCCGTGTGTTGGGCCTCTTTTCTGAGCACATTCCCCTTCCCATTACCTCAGCATTAGAGGAGCGTAAGCGCCCTCGCTCTGCTGTGCTTCTGTAGGATGGCTGTGCTTACCTTGATGTGACTGGGACGGAGTACACTATGGGTGTCAGAGCATCCCCGTGAGTTTGCTGAATGAATGTGCAATCTAGATAATGGAGCAGCAAGCTGCATGGTCTACAAACTGTAAAGCGCCTGTGTCAGATGATTTACAATGCCAGTTTCTTACCTCAGTTGTATTTTTGCTCTGTGACACAGAATGACTACTTACAAGGTAAATCGATTTGAAAAGGTTTTCAACTTTACTTCAGGAAAGCTAATAACTCGAAAAGGAATAAAGTGAGTACATTTAATTTTTTTTTTTCAATGTTTAGAGTAGTGATTACTGAGCTAGCAGGCCCGAGTGATGAAAACTGAGAACTGGAAGTGGAATTGCTAATGAAATAGTATGGGAATGCTTAACTTAGAGCTTTTTTTTTTTTTTTTTTTTTAAACTTTGTATCTAGCTTGTGATGTGTTAAACATCAAACGCTTTGTACAAACCTGTAGTTTGATACGGAGTGGAAGCCGTACTTTGAGCTAGGTGAATTGTAACAATTTCCTTTTAAATGGAAAAGTACTGTGGAGTCAGGATCAAATTCTCTGGTTTGCCTTTTTACTTCCTTGCAGCTGGTAATGACCCATGGCTGTAAACATAACAGAAGAATAGGATTCAGTAAAGAAACACAAACAAACCCCCTCTGTGCTTACAAGTTAAGAGTTTCATTAATTTTAATAACTTCTTTAGTCTGCAGAACTTAACTCTTGTTTGAGGAATTTGGGAACATAGCAGTTGCTTGTCCACAGTTTTTCCACAGGGTGGGGTAATAATGCGCAAGCTGGTTTTGGCTTAGAGTAGACCTTGTTACAGAGCTTGTTCTCATCGTTGTGTGTCTGTGGCTGCAGCTGTCTGCCGTGTCCCCTTCTGTTACTTTTAGATACCATGCAGGAACCCGATGAGGGAAAGCAGTAGTGGGTTTGTGGCAAGGCATTTGTCTTTAAATCTCAGATATACGAAGGGAAGACCCATTGCCAGTCTGCATTTGGCATGTATGCCATCAGGTTATCATCACTCATGCAAATGTAAAATTCAAAACCTACCAGTTTACACTGGTTCCCTTAATTAAGCAAACATTAAAAATATTCTGAACAGGTCTAGAAATGGCGTGTCTTTTTTAGGAAGAGCTATCGGCTTCGTGAATGCTCAGTATAATGATATTGTTTATCATGCAGATGGGGGGTCCTCTAGATACGTATTTCAGCTGTTTTAAAAAATAGTTATTAAGGAACATCTCCGTGTCCCCTTTGATAAAACAGCACAGCAGAATTCTTGCATGCAGTTGCAGATTGTATGTCTAGTATCATATTTGTTAACTGAAATCAGCTGCATTATTAATGAAACGTTCCCAGATAAACGATTTTACAACCAATCTATGGTATAAAAGCAGCTTAATTTGATAAAAAGAATTAAATTTTTTTTTGTTTTGACCAGTATCTCTTAAGGGGAGGGCATTCAGCTCATGTACGTCTGTAAAACAGACTGAATTGAACAGGAAATATATCTCTTGAGTCCTGAATGAGTGACTAAACAGGTATGAATCTTGTGGCAGAAGTTCAAAGTTGATTTGAAATCTACAGGGAAATCTTTTTCTATTACAAGTAAAATCCTGTTTCTGTGTGAGACACCACAAAGTACGAAACTAAGTTTGTTCAGGGTAGCCAGCCAAATGCAGTGCTGTTTTGCTTTTCAGTTGTGCTGAAGAAATCGAATGTCTAAAATTAGGTCTCTGAGGTCTAAAATGTGTGTGGGGAGAGAAGCAAGTTCTCCTTTCCCTCAGAATTCACCTTAGTGGGCTTCTAACATTCCACTAGAATACCACTTCAGTATCTGTTATAACAGAAAAAAAATCTTGAAGTGTAAACATGAAGCATGGCATACGGTATATTGTGCAACCTAATTAACAACTGATTATAAAGCAGCCTACCAGGCAGAGAAATGGCTACGGTATGGATACTCAAAAGAGGGTTTCTAGCACGTGATTTCGGAAGCTGTTAACGTTCTGCTGTTTTGCTGAGCTGTGCCCAACTTTGGACCACTTGCATTTTATAAAATAAAGTTTATCCCACGCACGTGCATGAATAGCAAATGCTTTCCTGTCCTCCCCACTTCCCTTCTTTTTGCCCGCTCCCTGGTATTTTCCAGCTTTGTCATAGTGAACAGCGTAGCCATGGAGGGCGATGGCTGTGCCGTCTGCCGTACCTCAGAGGCAAAGCTTGCGGCGCTTTCTCACAAACTGAATTGCTCCCAGCAGGTAAGAGTTTATTAAAGATCTGATCGTAGCCAGCAACTCGGCTGCTGCAATGCGAATACTGATACTGCAGCAACAGTCAGGATATAACTAAGAGTCTCCTGAAAAAAATCTGCTTCCTATTCATATTGCAGCTTGTTAGCAAATCTTTCTTCTCCCCATTTGCCTCTTACCATTTTTACTTAACTATTAACTGTGTTGCTCTGTGTTAATGGTGTTAACTTCCTTGTCAGTGCTGCCAGCAAACTGAGGGTGTCATTTCCTCTGTTCCAGGGAATGGCAGGAGAAGTTCTGTAACCCGCCTTTGACTTAAGAGACATAATAATCCCTGCATTTATATTTATGCATATTGTTCTGTTTTATATCCTTCAAACTAGCCTATTCTTTTAGTTTTCTGATTCTACTGGAGTCCTGTCTTGATAGCCTAGTAATGTTTTAATTGTAGTATTGTTTCATCAAATCCAATTGCTTCTTGTGTTTCATTCCTCTTCCCTTTTTCATAGGCCGACTGGACGCACGGTAGGCAGCATGATTGACTGGGTCGGCAGTCAATCAGGAAACCAGCTCCCAGTGGAAAAATTGCTAGACTCTAACTGCTCTCTCTCTTGGGCTGCCCTAAATCTCTTCTGCCTTGTTTGTGCAGTGAGATTCTGCTGTTGCTTTCTGCATTCAGAAAGAGCGCAACCGTATCTACAGCTTATAGAGAAAGGGGAATTACAGCATTTCCCCTTCCATCCACAGTAGAGGCTCTTAAAAGTTTATACAGCGGACAGTATTTAAACACTGTACTCTGAGCTGATGCTGCTTTTTGCAAAAAACGAAACAAGAAGAAACCCCCAACCCCTCAAAACCTAGCTATTGTTTAATTCCCTTCCCCACCCCTATGGTACACATAGGTGAAGACAATACGTATGGGTTGATTTTATTCACAGAAACCGAATCATTCCAACAAAAGGTGCAGTGATGTGGAAAAGCTTCCAGCTTCAGAACCCATCCTTTTACAGGTGCGTTAGAGGTGGGGTGAGGCAACATGTTGACGTGTTTTTAGTGTATTTATTACTGTTCCAGAAAGGCTGGACCGTGAGCAACTGATCCTTGCTTTGAATGTCTCCCAGCATTACCCTCTCTATCGGAAAAGTGATGCTGAATGCAGTGGAGAAGATTCTGCTCCTCCAGAGGAGAAGAACATCCCATTTAAAGAAAAGTATGACGTACTGTCTCAAGAAGCATCACAAAAGGTTTGATATATTAGGAACTTGAGTATCGGTGGGTGGGTGGGAGGGGGACACGAGTGGAGCTGTATGTAGATTAAAAAATTTTGGAAAGGACGTTAGCCGAGACAAACAGACCACAGCTGCTCCCGCTTTAATGAGGCCTTTGAGAAGCTGCTTGTTAGAGCTGCTCCCCTGAGGATCATCGCGATCACGGCCTTGATTCTGCAGGGCTTCCCAGGTACAGGCCATAGGTCCCGGCGCTCTTAAGTCTGCTGCGGTGCTGTTACCTCCAGTTGAGCGTTTTGTACTTCATGTACTGTGTAGATTATGGACAAACCTAGTAGAAAGCCACTGTCTTCCAACCCTTTGAAGGCACTGCTTTTGCTGAATTAGTAACTACAGGAAAACGTGAAGTCAAAGTATTCCCTAAAAATCTAATGGTCAGCATTTGTTTCCTTCTGCGTACATGTCTTCACTCAGGATTGGCAGTACAAGATTCCCCCTTAGCCAAGAAAAAAGCATTGCTTTACTAAACCCGAGGTTTTTCTATTTGTGATGTCAACAGCACGCTATTGCCTTTGTTCTTCTGATCCGTATGGCCACAAAAAATTTGGGATGAGGGCCAAATGGGTATGATTACTATTACAGTATCAACACGTCTCATTGGAAAACAGAAGTTTACACAAAGCGCTGTGTAAGAATATTAGAATTGCCATCATTTCATTCTGTTAGAAGAAAAAAAAAAAGGGGTTTAAGCTCAATTTCTTTTTAGCTATGACTCAATTTTTGTGCTTTACCGTTTTGTGTTCTAGCTGATATGGTGGTTTCATCCCCGTTTGATTCTCAGTGGGCATACCCATAGTGCTTGTGAAGTGCTGCACGCTGGGAAAATTCCAGAAATCAGCGTCCCGTCATTCAGTTGGAGGAATAGAAACAATCCTAGTTTCATCATGGTAAGTTTTAATTTTTTTTATTTTTGTCAGATAACTTTCATAAATAAATCAACATGGCAGTCAGCTATATTTTAAAACTGATTCTACCTGTAAAAACAAAAAATAAAAAAATTGCCTACCCACCCAACCCACTCAGTACACTGCATCCACTTTATAAAGTACATCTGTGGGAGCCACATGTGCTGTGTGGTACAAAGCAATGCCGTTAAAGATCTAATTAGTATCTGGGTACAAGCATCTAACATCTTCTTATAAAGAGGGTGCGTTGTAAACTATTGACTTGTAAAAATAATCAGTATTGTGCACTGAACAGTAGAAAGACTAGTTTGGCTTGGTTGATTTACCAGCTCTGAAAACAAGACCATTTCCACCTCAAACTCTTGCACGGTGATCATGGTTTTCAAACTTGTGCATTAACCGCTTCACACAGTGAAAACATTTGTCACATGCCAACAGTCTGCCTCCTCATTTCCAATTCACATTTTATACAGCGTGTTGGTTATGCTCTCGCAGGCAGTTCCAGTGCTCAGTATATCCTTAGAGGTAAATCAATTCGTTTCCCAGTTCAAAAATAAAACAGAACTCCTAGAAACTTGGAGTAAGAAGCAAAACCTAGGATCTGTTTACTGAGTAGTCTGAGACTTGGGAGGGGAAATCTTTCACGTACTTCTACTGCTGTTGAGTTTAGGCTGCTCGATACGCAGATAACCCCAAACTTTTAAATTCGTTTTATGCAACGGTTACTATTTCTTGTTGAAAGTAGTTCTGTTTATTCCATATTCCTGAGAGTAGCTGCCTTCAAACTACACATGCTCTCTGCACACGCCAGACAGTGCACCTTCACTGCAAAACAAGAGGTTGGCTAATTAAAGTTGCATCGTCTTCACTACTGTTTTAACTCAGCCTCGGTCCGTTGTAAACTTTAATTTGAACTGCAAAGTCAAGCCAAAACCCAATGAAGTTCTTTGTCGTTGAAGTTCATGTTCGTAATTTGGATTAGCCAACGTGTTTTTGCAGCATGTACTGGGTAGGAGGAGGGCTCGGGGGAGGAAGGGGCACATTCACAGACCCTAACTTTAGCCTGGGAAGGCTCCTTCCAGGTGGATTTACAGCAGCTAAAGTTAGGCTTCTCTTGAAGGCAGATCAGATGGGGAGCCCAGCTCTCTATTTACGCTAGATGGAGTAGAGGGAAGATTGGCCTCTGGGCTAATGTTGGCCTGGTGAATATTCCAGTTAGTGCCCAGCACCGCAAGGTACGGACGCTTCAGCCCCCTGGAGAAGGCACTGGTACTAGGAAACTGGCCCCAACCCTTGCCACCCAACACAGAATTTAGAAGTTGGAGATCTGACCGCTGGGGTGTTACTCCTGATTCAGGACCCACTGTAACAGCAAAGTGACGGTCTTCGTTTCTTTTCCAGGGCAGCATAACACCAACTCGCTTCTCCCTCCAAAAATGCTTCCTTCCGTATGAGAGCAGAGTCTTTACTATATACTGTGCAGCAGGTGCTCTGCTTGTAATCCTGATACTAGCTCATTTTCAGCTTCTCACGCCACCATTTTATTTTGCTCAGCGTTTAATCAGTAAGCATAAAGCAGTATGAAGAGCCAGACATCTGCATTCAGTCACTGAAATACCAAAGCTGAGAACAGTCAAACATCAGACTATATTCATGCCAGCAAATGACCTAATTTGATTGCTAGTCTGAAGGCAGGTTGCATTTACACATACCATAGAAGTCCTATACAGCTGATATGACTACTACAGGATAAATAATTAACTGAAATGAACGTTTCATGCTGTACAAAAATACTGTATTCTACAATCAAATGAGTCCTTTTCCTGCTATAATTTTTGTATCAAATATGTATATTAAAAGTGTAACTGTACATTATGTAAATCCTATAGCCTCATCACTTATCTGCACTAGTGTCTTACCCTGGTGGAGGCTCAGTCCTGCAAACTGGAAACATTTCTCTGTTTTATTGCTGCATGGCCCTTCTCATGTCATACTTCCGTTTGTTAGGGTCAGGCAGAATCTAGATACATCAGCACTGAGAGATGCGGATTTCCGTAACCTTTTTAGGATGTCATATGTAAGGGACTCTGGTTTGGGACAAGAAATCTTCCAGTTCCTGGCACGTTAAATTGTTAGCTGACTACAATTTGCAGTTATCGTCTACCAGACAACAACGGGAAGAAGCTCGTGGATCCAGTTTGCTGATACACACTTGAAACCTGCTTAAAGAAAAGTTAGGGTGACACCTCAAGCTGCTATTTTTAAAAAGATGTGCTATGATGAGCTTAAAAAAAGAGGGCCCTATTGCATCCCAGAGATCTGTGTGGTGAGGGGCCCTCCAGTTGCCGATCTTCTGCAAGAAGGAAGGTCAAATACAGCTGCAGTAACATTATCCTATGCCTTGGCCCTCGGTCCTCGGACAGACAGGGGTAGGAATGCGCGTTATTTTAGATTCCTGCAGGGCCGCCAAGTTCTGTTAACTTACTGTAGAGTCACATTTTGAACTGCACTAGCTCTTCCCTGGGGAGGCGGAGGCCACCGGCCGCGCTGCAGCGCAGCGAACCGCAGAGCTGGGCCACAGGCCCCTGCCGGGAGGGCAGCGGGGAGAATGTAAAATCTGAGCTCAGCGTCTTCGCGTGCTGCGTATGAGGGAAGAGGCGACAAACCTACTGCTTCTCCCCACCCGCCCCAGAAAAACCAGAGGGACTAGTTCACACCAGGACCAATTTTCCTGCTGACGTTCCTGCAGAGGCTGGGAGCTCTAGCCTGAGCTCCTGGGCTGGGGATTGTTTTTAAAGAAAAGACTGTCTTTTGTTATTCGCTCTATTACTTTCTTTGGCATGGGAAACGAGAGAATCTTTGCATTTGGGAATTTTGTTTATTATTAGCTTATTCCACCCAGGCTTTCACTTTCTGGGAAATATCTGATGACTAAATTGAACGTACAGATATCAAAGCATACACATTTCTGGGAAGAGGAAACGGTCATATGATAGTATCTAAAATGGGATTGCTTATCGTCAAATAGAAACAAGGTCTCAATTCGTCTGTAGTCTGAATTTAAAAAGATGACTGACTGGGGTTTGTAACTAATAATGGTGCTTACAGTAAAAAGTTAATCAAACCTGCTGATTTATATGCCAACGTGGGGAAGGTGTTAGCTCTTTCTCTCTCCCTAAATTTAAAATGAAGTGGGGGGAATGGTCCAAAGTGTGATAAAACACTCTAGAAAGTAATGTAGTCTAACACTTCTCTAGGTTTCTGTTATTGCAACTGTAATTTTAGACATTTGTACAGGTTATCTTGGACACAGGAAAAGTATATAGTCACAGACATAAAACACCTATGTATAAAATATAAAGCAGTGTTATAGTTACTAAAAAGGACATGCCTTATTGCTACAGCAATTCTTGCTTTTTATATATTGTACTGTACCACAACTTGTTTTGAGAATGTCATTTGCATAAATTATTCAAGTTTGAGAAATATTCACACATTTTTATTCTACAATATTTAAAATAAAACAATTTTCTAATGTGTCTCTTTATTAAAAGAGAAATAAAAATGTCATCTTGTAATTCTCTTAGGCCAGACACAAGGGTTTATACACCTTTTTTTTTTTTTTTTTTTTTAAAAAATAAATCCTTGGTTCCCATTAAAACAACACCAGGTTGCAATTTGGACACTTGAATGAATTCCAATGTTTTAAAGCTGAGACTTCAAAAGAGAAAGGCATGTTTGCTGCAACATCCGGTGACTGTAATACCTTACTTGGAAAGGTAAGTGGTTAATTTGCATAATTTATAATTTTTATACTAAAGAGCATTTTTATATAAACCAGAAAAAAACCCCTAAACTCTACAGATAAAGTTCTTACCTCCAGTCACTGCTGCAGGTAAGGTTGACATCAAGCTGTACAGCGCAATCAAAAACATACTTACATCTTAGCTCATTTTACAGGTACAGCCATAATCAAGGCACAAAGATCTTCTACAAGTATTTTTCTTCAATAAAGTTGTACAAAATAATATTACATTTTACAGTCTGTACAATATAATAAACCAGCAGTAAAACAAAAAAATATATATAGGGAGAGGACCGTTGTCCAAGAATGATCGGAACGAAAAGGATCATTTGTGGACAGCACAAATAACGTAAGTGAGGGTGGTAAATTTCCTGCCTAGATGCAACAGGCTGAAAAGTAGCTGTAATTCAAATGCCTGAGGTGTGCAGAGACACTTAGCTCCAAAACCCCAGAAAAATTGCTTTGTCTTCACTATTCCTCTCATTATCTACTCTACTTCCTGTGCCGGTAACGGCTTAAAAGAGGAGGTCACTTTATCAGTTGACCTGCAACTCAGAAATGCTAAAAACTGTGACAGAGTAATAAATATTGTGGTGCTGCTACATTGTGTGTCTACTTCCTCAACAGTATTTAATAACCTGATACAAAGTGCATTAATCTTTTTTTCACCCATCAAGTACTCTTCAATGTCATGTTAAAAAGGAAACCCACACAGAGGGATAGGTATGACCTTAGTGTCATCCGGCTGACATACCAGTTTGAACTGACGTTAACCTGCTGGAAAAAATTTAGCAGGGCACGTTCAGTTAAAAAAACAAAACCTAAGGGAACAGAGGTAGCCGGAGGGCTTAGTGGAATGACGAAGAAGTGGCATGTCAAAATAAAGCACAAAAATAGTCCCAAAAAGCATGAAGGAAAAACAACCCAAACTTGCTTCAAATCAGCTTTAAGGTTAAATAATTAAAGTAAACAAAGTGAAGAGACTGACATTTCTATAGTATATTCTTCCACCTTGTGTGGGGTAGTATCAAGAGAAAGAGTAAGGAGCAAAGAATTTAAAACCACAGGTTCCACGGTGAGCCCCCTCACAAGAGTTCGTACTGGCGGAGGTGCATCCTTTGAATGATGTCTCGACAGTCGTTGAACACTCTGCGGATATTTTCTGTGTCCACTGCACATGTAAAGTGTGGGTAGCAGTAATGCCTGCCGTCTCCGCTCGCCGTACTTATCCTCTGCGGAAAGAGTGAGGAAAAGAAGGGTCAGGCGCCGTGCCGCGAGAGGTTGCACGTCTCAGCGGTCTCTCGTCTTACGGAGTACCAAGAAACCTGGGAAATTCTGCGTATAGATCATTAAAATAAACAAATATAAAGAAGGAAGGTCCGTGGTCTAGTCCCACCTGAATCACAAATTTGAAACAAATGCAAAGAAAGTTATGGATAATATTATGGGGTCAGTATATTACTACTTTGTAAGAGCCACTGACGCTATAATCGTTTGCACAAGCTATTATCATTTGCACATCACCGTGCAGTGAATCCGTGCTGCTGACGGCACTGCAGTCTGCCCTGCATCTGTCCCAGGATTTTTTTTTCCCCCTCTTCTTTTTTGGTGCCATCATGTGGCAAATTTTTGAATTCTTGTTTAATCGGCAACACAAAACTGAAAACCTCCCAGTTGTGAAGGGGGCAGCGGCAGAGAAGAGCACCCTACCGCTTCTGCTTCTTGAAGCTGAAGGCCCCTGAAGGTACCTTTACTTAGTGCGCCCATCAAGCCGGCTGACGACTTGGTATCATTACTGAGACCCGGCCATGGTGGAAATATCACTAGAGTGGACGGGTTCCCACAGAATAATAAACCATGCACAAATCCAGTCAACATCGGGCCATGCAGAATTAAATTTTCACAAGGCTACTGCACAACTTTTTAGGTCGCTAACTTGAGCTCCAGCATCACTTCACCCGTGGTTATCTTGTTAAAATTCCCCAGAAGCTTAAAAAAGATTTAAAAAAAAATCATCATTTTGTTCTGTACTACTATAGGACTGATACATAAATCCATGCTAGATCATTATCTTGAAGAATATATACGGAATGTCACGAAAGCGGAAGGTCAGTTCTTGGGATAACAATTTTTATAAATCTTTTCTGAATTTTATTACAAACTATAATGGCTAAACAACAAAAGACACTGTTTTCTCTCTCTCTGGCTACACTATAGAGTGATTTATTTTACATGTGGGATTGACCTTTTAAATGCCTACAGCTACAGATAGGCAAAACTATAGACATTTCAAAGCCCTGATTTACATAATTAGATCAACAAGAAATTGCAGATTTTTGCAGGTAACATTAGCTATTCAACAGAAGTTAAATAGGGGGCTTCCAAATGTATACTAAAAATGATTGTCTTCTTACTAAGCTACACTCAATACCTAGTTCAAGGATTTTCTTCATGAAAAATATTAATTTAATAACCTAGTCAATTGATGAGTAAGTCGTTCAGACCATATTTAAAGCATGAAGTACACTAAACAATAATGAAACGAGGGGAAAAAAAAGGTTTACAAATCACTGCAATGGCGGCAAGATGCTGAAACTCAATTAAAATGTAGATTGTATTTGCCTGCAGGATACAGGCCTCCAAATCTCCCAGAAAGGTCTGGGGGGAGTGTTGTCTTACAAAGTTTGGGGGAAATCAGTCCTTTAGGAAGCCAAGGGCTGAAAAGACAGTGGTGTGCATGGACACTCATGATGATACTAATTTTAAAACGGTGAAATGTGCAATAGAGGTTCTATTTTTGATACAATAGCTGCTTTACATTTTTTTTTTTTCCTCCTGCGGATCTGTTCTGCATGGCAGTGGTATAATGCTGCCACTCAGATGCAGCAAGGAGAGACCCATTACTAAGCATTTTTTTTCCTTGGAGAAAAAAAAATTGTCCCCCAAATGACGGTGCAGCCTGCCTTCCAGCTACTGCTGCACTTCTTCAATCTTAACTTGCAAGCCTCGGAGGAGTTTGGCCCTGGCCTGTTCGGGTTTGAGACCCACATCTACACGCGCAGCCTCCAGCTGCTAT